AGGCTCGAAGCTGCCGCCGCCGCCAGCGTTGTAGGACCAGTAAGTAGGTTGGTGGTGTTTTTCCATCTCCCTCCCCTCCAACTTCTATGGATGAGAAGAGAGAGAAAGAGAGGTGGTATTACCATATTGCAAGGTTAAGGGCTTTTATGGTGATGAGAGAGAGATGAGAATAAAAACATATTACCTGGCTTCAATATTGATGTTAAACAGATAAGATCTATTATTTTCCTAAAATGAAAGTTAAAACTCCAAATTGGGATATGAGAAATTTTAGGTTGTCCACACCCTCTCTGTGTGTGGTATATATTACTAGGTATATTACTATATTTTGTTTTTCTAATATATTTTACAAAAAGGGAGAACTTCAAATAATAAAAAATCATCTCCACACTTAAATTTTCATGCTTTAAAACTTCAAGAGAATGATATAGTAGTAATTAACTTACTTAGCAAGGTTATGCGATTTTAAAAGGTTCTATTTGTTCAATTAAGTACGAATTTTACTTTAGGAATAAAAAAACATGAAATTTATTGGATTGAAAGGCCAGTAGAGTTGGTGGGAAGTGGTAAAAAATTATTCTATCAACTTGTACGCTTCATCAGTCCATTTTTTATTTTTATTTAATTCAGAGTGTCCGAGAAGGCACAAATCATTAGAACTCCTCGACAATCTAACTAATTCCTGAGGATTCAGAAAGGCACCTCCCTACTGAGGTCGGATAAACCCGTGTAAGGCAAGGGCTAATCCAAGATTTCTAGTTGGGGTGGGCTAATTTTAGTATAGTGGCTGAGTTGACTTGGACTTGATTGGGTGGACTAATTTTGGGGTGGGCTAATACTATTAATATTTTTTTTTTTTTAAGTGGACTACAACCCACCTAGGCCCACCCTTCTATCTGCCTTTGCTGCAAGGGCAGCAGAGACTAGCTATAAAGAACATCCAACGGGACTTAAATCCCAGACTTTGAGCTTACTAAATTTCAAAGTCCAGTGAGTAAATCACTAGACATAGGGGTGACAATTCGTGTTCGTGTGTTATAATCGTGTTGTATCGATGTAAGAGTGCTCTACTAAATAGGTAAACCTAAACCCGACCCATTTAATAATCGTGTCAGGAACTCTCAACACTAACACGACCTGTTTATTAACCGTGTTAATCCGTTCAATGACCTGTTTATCAAAACGAGAAATTTAATATTCAAATCAAATAATAAATACTAGAAAAAAATTTGTCATAATTAACCCAAATATTCAAAATAAGAAGAAAAATCATAAGGCGTAGTCAAGGTTAATATTGAAACGACTTAACTATCCATAATAATTGGGTTTAAATAGGTAACATAATATATAGGTCATATTCATAATTATGACATGTTGAGTTAAACAGGTTACACAGGTTGAATCCCTCAACCCTAACCCAACACGGTTAAGTAAATGAGTTAATCATATCAATTTATTTATGATCAAAACTCATTTAAAGTCAACCCAAACCCACTTATCTAATGTCGTGTTCGAATTGTGTTGATGAGTCGTGTCATAATTTGCCACCCTAACTGGGCATATCCGAAATGAATCCATTAGTAGATATTGTTTCTTTGTAGTATCAGAGCATCTCCAATGCAAAATGCTATATTTTCATACCAAATCTATATTTTGAGAGGAGCTACAGTGTCAAAATGCTATATTTTTGCAATTCTGCTTCAATGGTGTATTTCATCCAAAATGCTATTTTTTGACACAACAACCATTCCATATTTTGAGAGCCCATTGGAATACCTTATTTTCACTTTAGCAACTTTTGACAATCTCAAAATATGAGAGGTATTTTGAGAGAACCCATTTGAGTACCTATTTTCATCCACTTGCTATGTTTTGAGTTTGAGATGTCATTTGAGAGCTGTTATATTTGATAATACATTTGAGAATCTCAAAATATAAGAGGCCTTTTGAAAGGCCATTAGAGTGCCTTATTTTCATCAACCTGCTATATTTTGAGTTTGAGAACCTATTTGAAAAGTCATTAGAGATGCCCTCAATAGAACTTGGAATTAGGTTCTCGCCAATTATTAATTAAATTAGATAAAAACATCACTATACAAGTCGATTCGATTTTTCCCCAATGTTTAATTCATCTACTACTCCTTCTGAGAAATCAATTTTTGCCGACTTGACTTGAGAAGCTTTTTATCTACTTAAGTTTTAATGGTGAGTTAGATCCATCATCGTAAATGATACGATTTATTTACTCTTTGAAATCCTATTATACTTGATTGAAAAATAAAAAATACCTTATTATACTAGATGGGTTCTAATATATGAGTTTCCTTTTTACTCGAATTTAGTGCAGTTGGTAAGGTTACTCCGTTATGACTTATAAGTTACAAATTTAAACAATTCCTCTATATGCGGAGGTAAAACTGTGTATATTTGATTCTTTTCAGACTCTACATCCTTCATATCCAAGGACGAATTCAGGAATTGTCAATAAAGTGGACTAATATTTCTTTGGGTGGGTTAATATTAGTAATAATTTTTATTTTTTTGGGCTGGACTAAAATTGGGTATAGTATATATATATATATATATATATATATATATATATATATATATATATATATTTTGAGGTGGGTTTGAGCCCACCCAAGCCCACCCTTGGATCCACCAGTGTTCCTATCACAACAACTCAAGCTACAAGATTGTACACAATATAGTGTGAGATATAAATTTTGTAATTGACAAATTTCGATGTCAAATCGTGTCCAATCAAGTTGTAATTTTTGTTTTATTTTGAATCTCGATGTCGGAAGCGGAACAACTAGTACACGTATACTTCATGCTGATGAGAATATCATTTAGAATCGGAATGTGGGTGAGGAATACTTGAATGTCTAGAGTTGGGCAGTAGAGCATATGTTGGAAATAGCACTCAACAAATTAAGTACAACTGGGTGCATTTTCTGCTACTCTCTCAGGAAAAGTCCAACAGGTTGCCCTTATAAATCCAACTGGTTGAACTTCCTGCATAAAAATATGACTCAAGAAAAGTCTAACTGGTTGAACTTCCTGCATAAAAATATGACTCAAGAAAAGTCTAACTGGTTGAACTTCCTGCATAAAAATATGACTCAAGAAAAGTCTAACGGGTTTGAACATTGAAATCCAACCGGTTGAGTTTTCCTGAATGTGGAAAAAATAAGATTTTGATAACTTTTTAGTTTCCTTTTCTTACCCAAACTTTTAGGGCTGTCCTTGCATGATTTTAAAACCACTTCTTACCTATTGTAAGGACTCTCTAGTATACATATAACACCTATCTAAAACCCTAATAGACAGATTGATTACTTCAATTTGGAAAATCAAAGATTCGTCTTTTACTTGAATATAGAAGCTTTTTTGGATTATTTTTAACAGAAAACGTCAGTGATTTTTTTGTATTTTTATATAACTTGAGAGCACACACTATTACACGAGTGTGATCTTAGGGTGGTGTTCTCTCTCTAACCAGAGTTTAGACTTATTGAAAATCTAGTTGATTCCATTCAATAAAAGCATGGTTTCTATTTTGGCTTCACCAATTTAGATTTTGAAGGAAGAAGGAATCGATCACATGCGCTATATCACTACGAAGGGTGAAAGCATTGGCGAAGGGTGAAAGCATTGGCGAAGTGTTCGTGATTTACCAACAATCCTTTTATAGGATTAAGGGAGTAAGCCTGAAGTCTAGAGAGTTTGGACGAGGGACTCGCATAACCAGAGAGACGTTCAACAATTGGTTCTTGGTAGAGTGGAGTGGGTATTAGTCTAAGTCAGAATCTATTATACTTTGCTTCAAAGATACTAGATCGTTTCGCTCAAAACTGTGAATATTTCCATGATTTTCATCCCGATTGGTCGGATTTCTTCCAATAAGAGTTTACATACGTAAAAAAATCCGGTGTCGTATCTCAAACTCTATTTAATTTACTTATTGCTTTGTGGGTTTGATTTTAGTTTTATTACAGTAAAATTAAAATAAACAAAAATTAGATAAATGAGCAAATAAAACCTATTCCCCCCCTTTAAATTATTTTTAATACAAACTTTTAACTTCATTCCGCATAAACCACAAAATGCAACAAAAATCAGAAATGAAAGATCAAATATATATATGGGAGAGGTACTAAGCCCTAGCAAGATAGCTGGACTGGGCTTTAAAAGGGAGGATAGAAGCCTCCAATTTACCTCTAAGTAGATCAATATAAAATAGGCATCCTTTAGATAAATGTTTAAAGAGTTCGTCAGATGGGCTTTTGAATATTTTCATATGAACAACACTCATTTCTTTACCGGTAAGGAAGAAATTTCCCCTCCACTACTGTAACATAATAATAAAATAACATGTATTCATTTTGGAGGAAAAAAAAAAACATATATATATATATATATATATATATATATATAGTGATAAATTCATCCAAACTACTCAATACAAACGGTGACAAAAAGAGGCCTTAGAAGCAAAAATTATTATATGATCCGAAATCACGCGGTACTATTAATCACGAAATGCTATGCAATTAGTGTACACTGGAATTAATCATGGGTCCCACAGCCCAAATCTTTGATCTTTCACTTCATTGTTAGGTAGTTTCCGTCGCACCAAATAATATATAATATTTACATTTTACCAACATGCTAACAGGTTCTTACTTCTTAAAGAGAGGTCAAGAGTTCAAGCTTAGTAAAAATACGTGTGCGAATATATATATATATATATATCTATATATATATATATATAATAAAAATAAAACAAAAAACAAACTGAAACTGAGAATTAACCAAAATTGTCACATGGAGATAAATCAGAAAACATTATTAAAATCTTAAATGGTAGCAGAAAAATATGACATTCCAATACTACAAGAAAGGACAAAGATAATGAAACAAATGCATATATAGTTCATTTCCCTCCACGTGATCTCATGCATTGCTACTCATGGTAAGACTGAGGACGGTGCAAATCACAGATGGAGATCAACGTCCACCTCATTCTCTGCTTCTCCAATCAACGGTGATATTTGGGCCTCCACACACTGTGGGCCCGCAGTAACAATCTGGTGTGGCCGTCCCGCGTAGAACCGATCAGGAAATCTGAGAGGTGGTGATGATAATACCTGCGGTGGATGTGGATGTACACGGTAGTCAGACGGAGACCGGAAGCGTGCGGCATACGAACCACCACTTGTGGACCCACCTGAGCAAATTAGCGGTCCTGATCGACCTGCATGGGCACTGACAAGTGGGACAGTCACTGCAAAACGACGGTGGTGATCGGTTTGGAAGTGGGCCCGCTTTGCTCGCTGCCGTTCTTTCTTGTGCGCGTTCTGATGGCCACCTAGTGCTTGAGAATTGGCGAACTCTCGGTGACAATACTGGCACTCAAATCTTCTGATCCCGCAATCGGGTTGTACTGTCACCGGGGATTTGCCACAGCCCGTCACCGGAAAACCGAATAGCCTCACTGGGGAGGAAGGGTTGTGATCAAACTCACTCTGACTTGATCTCTCTGTCATTTTGGATACGATACAAAAAAAATGTTGAAGGCTAAACCTTAGAATCCATGCGTGTGTGTCTATATATATATCTATATATATATATATATATATATATAAGTGCATTGCACTGTAATTTTGTCGGGTTTTTGTAAAGTGTTTCAGGAAGAAATGACTTGTTTGGTTCAATTTTCTATATATATATATATATATATATATATATATATATATATATATCAAAAACTCAAGGAAAAAATAGAAAATTATTTCTAAAAAATTATAAAAACAATTCTGGAAAAACATGTTTTCTTAATAGAATGTTTAGAAAATAATCTTTAATAAACTGTAATTAAACAAATTCATGTACAATTTTTAAATTTTTAATTTTCTAAAAGAGAAAAATTGTTTATAGAAAATTAAACCAAATAGCCTCAAAGTGTCTGGACATATAGCTTGAATTTGTACGCATGATTGCATTATACTATTAGGTTCTATTTGGTTGTCAGACAGCAAAGTAAATTTTTTACTGATTTTTGTTTGAATTTGTATGCACGATCGTGTTATTGTATTAGGGTATACTTGGTTTGTTAGGCGGTAAACTATTTTCATAAACTATAAATATAGTTGTCTCAGAACAAAATATTATGAATTTTTTGTTTGCTTTAGTTATTTTTTTTTTTAAAAAAATTCTTTTTACTTTTGAAGAATTGACAATTAGAGTGTTTTACAAAAATCTGTTTAGTTGATAAGAGAATGTCTTGTGAATAACAAATCAAACAGGCAGGGACCATTAAGGGCTTAGTGGGAGTAGCTGCGCCACTGAAAATTTTTTTATTTGCAAAATTATCTATTAATTTCATGAATATCTTAAGAATGTCCCTATGTTTTTGTAAAACTTTTAAAAATACCCCATTCAATTTCTAATAATACCCTACTATATATTATTATTGTTCAAGGGCTGCCCTTCTAATACCATTCGCTCTATCCGTCACTGAAACCAAACACGTTTTTATACCCTTCTAACAAGCAAATATTTTACAAATGTTTAGTTAATTAATCTCATCATAAAATTTCAAACGATTATTAAAATACATGTTTATATTTGATACTCATCCCTAACTTGCCCACGTATACATGTTTATGCTGAGTTTATACTATTGCACTAAACAATGACGTTTATATATACAGAATTGATTTTGATAATTCATACACATATAGTGCAACACTGACATCAAAAAGCAAGTGTACACACACACACATATATATATAGCTTTTGGCTTTATCAGGAGAGTCATGCTTTTTACTGCTGTTTAGTTTGTATTTTTATGCGATAGGGTCATGGTAAAGCCTAAAAGCCAAGTGTACCAGTAAAAGAAAAACGTATAGATGGAGCTTTTTCAGATCAATATTTTATTTTCATATGAGAAAATTTTGCGTGTTAAATTAATCCTTATTTGGAATGTGTCAGTGAATGTATAAACCACATTCTTGATTTTTATGTCTCTTTATTAATATTTGTAACTGTATTGAAAATGACATCCAAAATTTCAATAGAGATACATTTGTTTGTTAAAGTTATCTGCCAGATCAACATCCCAATGAGAAGGAAAAGAAAACAAACATGGCCTTACAGAAAAGTCACAATGTAACCTACCCAAAAAAAGAAAAATAAAATATACAGGGCACATTAATTGTATATATGCACACAGTACAATTTCCCAACCTTGCCTAATTAACTCACCCGCTAATCAATTTGACATCTAAAGGTTTGTTGGGTTTATAGTTCTGAAAACAGTTCTCGAAGAACTCAAAAAATAGAAACAATTTTTATAAAAATATAAAAGATAATTCTTTGAAAACATGCATTTTTATAACTGAGTTTTTTAAAAATAATTTTTAGAAAACTGAATCAAGAAGAATCTTTATACAATTTTCTATTTTCAATTCTCTAAAAATTGAAAACTATCTCTAAATTTACAAATCAAACAAGTATTTTGTATAATAACAAATGGATTAGTGATGTAACACTGTTTCCCCCTTTTTTTTTTATTATATTTGTCTTCACTAGGGCCTTGTAGCCATGTGGTATCTTCTCTATCTTCTAATGTGGATGGTAAGGGTTCGATTCTCTAAAGGAACAACGTGAGAAGGTGTGTGAGTGTTGTGTGAGTTTCTTACATTCCATGGGTCGCATATGCATCATTACCTTCTACCAAAAAAATGTCTACTAACTCGACACGCTTTTGCTTTTGTTTAGGTCTGGAGTCGAACTCTTTCCCTCCTTTTTTTTTAAATATCGGGAAGTTATAAAATTAAGTTAGAGGTCATTTGGTGGCATTTCCCATATTACTTGTATAATATTTTTCCTTAACTCAAACTTATGTTTTCTCATATTACCGTGACAATTCAATTGTGAGAGTCATGGTTCCCTAAAAGTGACACTTTTTATGAACCGAAAGGAGTATAACATAATGGGATAGTTATATAACTCCCCTTTCTTTTCGTTTTTTTTGGTTCTGTTAATTGTAAAACTTTTGTTTTGTATAACAAATGGATTAGTTATATAATATATATATTTTTCACTTTGTTTACTGTATTTGTCTGCCATGGTATGTGTGAGTAGCATATGCAACATCATCCCCAAAAAAACCTGTCCACTCACACACACTTTTTGTTCACGCCCAGACCGGAAGTTATTCACTTCTCTTTGAGGAACGGAAGATTATAACATTGGATCACAGACCCTTTGATTTCGTTTCCCACATGACTTGTATATTTTTTTCTTAACGCAAACTTATGTTTTGTATGACATAATGGGATTGTTATATAACAACTTTTTCATTTCTTCCTGTATTTACCTTCCAGGGCTTGTTATGCATGTGTGTGGAGCACACAAGCATTAGGGTGATATGCTCAAATGATTAAAGGGGGGAAAAAGTTACTATCAGCCACTCAAACACACAGAATGTTGAGGTATATCCCTCATGTGGCATGCATGATGATGACCATATCTCATATAATCCAACCTAGCTAGCTAGATTAATTTTTATTTTTTTAGCTCAAATCTTGTGAATTTCAATGAAAACCCACTGAAAATGCCTAAAGACATGCCTACAAAGATCCTGTTAGAAGCTATTATTGTGTATTCTTTTGCACTTATTCTACAAACTGTAGCTACTCACGCTGATGGAAAGTTTTACAATGAATCTGCCTAGATTGTATATAAGATATCTTACAGTAGGTGTCTTTGTAGTTTTGTATAAGCATAGGAAATAAAAATCTATAGCGGGAAACACTGTTTACAAGACAAATTCCGAGAACGTCGGCGAGGGACATGTGAGGCCGTATGGAAACTGGTGATGTAGAAGTAATTGTCGAAGTCTATATGGCATGTTTAGACCGTCAGATGACCAAATGAGCATGTTTACAGATGTGCTGGGTTGATCATGAAGTGTCCGTTTTTGACTCAAAAGGGATTTTTTTTTTTTTACTAGAAACAACAAAACTTGCAAGATACACGCTCCGTCATGATGTACACTACTTTTCGGCCGAATTCCATCGTCAGGGTCTCAAAATGGGGTTTTTCTATTGCATAAGAGGCCTGCTTATTATTTCGAGATTTGTTCATTTTCTAAACGAATTCGGATTGCTCTCAATTTTTATATTTAATAGTTTTTACTGATTAGGCTTTTTAATCTATTAATTTTTTGAGAAACTTTAATTTTAGGTTTATTTTTTAGTGTTAGTTTCCTTTTGAAATTATGTGTCCTTGTGTTCTAAGGTTTTCTATAGCAGTTAGTTTCCTTATGATTTATAGATTTTATTCATTATAAATATATGTAATGCAGAGCAAAAATATTCATTTAATTATCAATACAATAAATGATTTTCTTTGTGAATTTATCTCTTATTGTTCCTTGTGAAAAATCATAGCTTCCGCTTATGTCTCTAGTGGCAAAGCCCATGCCGTCACTAAAATTCCCTCATTCGACATCTCCGAAGTTGATGCAGAATAGAATTCTGAACAGTTTAACAAGTCCATTTTCGACAAACCAATAGTGTTGTTTGGGTGGAAACGACGCATTGAGAAAAAACTCACTAGCCTTAGCTTCTGGGGTCATGTTTTTAGGGCTCTGAAATTGTGTTTTATCGTCTTATACGAGGCCTACAAATTATTTCGGGATTTTTGTTCAAGGCCTTAACGAACTTGGATTGCTTTAAAATTTTAGATTTAGTATTTTTTATTTATTAGGTTTTTTATTATATTTTTTCGATTTTTTTAGAGACAATTTATTTTTATGCTTATTTTTAGGATTAGTTTTCTTGTATGATTATATTTTAGTTTCTTTCAAGTGTTAGGTTTTCTCTATTATAAATATTAATGCATTGTAAGATCAAAATTTAACATTTTATCAATAATATTTCAAAATTCTTTATGAATTTATCTCTTGTTTTGTGGATTTAAAACACCCTACTTTATGGATTCAAAACACCCGTTTCTTATGAATAAATTTATCGCTTCTGGTTACGTCAGTTTGTATCAAAGCCTTGATTTACCCTGGGCTGATGACGATTGCTCTTTTTGGTAGTTCCCACTTTGTCAACAATGATCGTAGAGTGAAGGCCCCTTGGGCATCCATGTATGCTCAAGATCGGTTCGTAGCAACTGGTAGCAACCAGGTTCGTGGTTCAGTTCAAGTTTGTGCTGATGATGTATCTCGCAGCCAACCAAATATGGGTTATGTTCCTGTTTATCCACGTAAGCTTCCAGCCTATATGGATTATTCCAATGATGAGGAGTTCATATTCAGTGATCGAGATATATGCAGCAATCGTGAATTGTAGCTAAAACTTGATCTACTTACTTTCCATGGAAGTATTATTATTGAAGATGTCGTAGACTGGCTTGAAGAAGTTGAAGAATTTTGCAAGTATTTTGATGTACCTGAAAACAAGCAAGTTTCACTTTTTGCCTTCTAGCTTAAAGGATAGACTTCAACTTGGTGGGAACAAATACGGAT